CACTGCCTAATGATGTGCCTTGAGCACCATTTCCAAAAGATATTTAGTCATATCAAAATTCTCAACACAACTTTTATATATCTACTTACTTATCAACTGTAATAGAAAATGCCAGAAATAACCTAGTTTTTTCATGCAATTTACCCTGCAAGTTCTAAGCTATATTTCCAACATACTGAGAATAGAGTTTGCAAATGCTAGTTTCTGTTTAGGACCTGTTCTTTCTTTTGCCTTCTATAAATATTCTTTGCAAACTAGTCTTCAGGAAAAAAAAAAACAAAGTTTTAGTTGCCTGAGCAGTTTTTTTCTTCACTTAATACACAACAATTTCCCACTACGGGGCATATACCCAGAGAAAACCATAACTCAAAAAGACACATGCACCCCAATGTTCATTGCAGCACTATTTACAATAGCCAGGTCATGGAAGCAACCTAAATGTCCATTGACGAATGAAGAAGATGTGGTACATATATGCAATGGAATATTACTCAGCCATAAAAAGGAACAAAATTGGGTCATTTGTAGAGACATGGATGGACCTAGAGACTGTCATACAGAGTGAAGTCATAAAGAGAAAAACAAATATCGTATATTAACACATATTTGTGAAATCTAGAAAAATGGTACGGATGAACCAGTTTGCAAGGCAGAAATAGAGACACACATGTAGAGAACAAATGTATGAACACCAAGTGGGGAAAGGGGAGGTGGGATGAACTGGGAGATTGGGATTAACATATACACGCTAATATGTATAAAATAGGTAACTGATGAGAACTTGCTGTATAGCACAGGGAACTCCACTTCGCTGTACAGTAGAAACTAACACAACATTGTAAAACAACTATACTTCCCCCCCCCAAAAAATAATACACAACAATTCAAGGCAGCATCACTGCAGTGGTTCTGTCAACTTGACTGGGCCACTGGATGCCCAGATAAGTGTCAAACATTCTGGCTGTGTATTTGAGGTTTTTTTCTGAATGAGATTAGCATTTGAACCAGTAGATTGAGTAAAGCAGATTAACCTCCATAATGTAGGTGGGCTTCATCCAATCAGTTGAAGACCTGAATATAACAAGAGGATTGACCCTTCTAATAGGAGAGGATTCCTCCTGCCTGACTGCCTTCAAGCTGAGTCAGGGGTGTTCCCCTTTCAGTGGACTCAAACTGAAATATCACCTCTTCCTGAATCTTGAGCCTGCCTGCCTTCAGACTGGAACTATACCATCAGCTCTCCTGGGTCTCCCGCCTGCCAACTGCCGGTCTTGGGACTTGTCAGACTCCAAAATCACACAAGTCGACTTCTTTTTAAAAATCCCTCTCTCTCTCTCTCTCTCTCTCTCTCTCTCTCACGATATATATATATATATATATATATATATATATATACACACACACACGCGCACGCACACACACACACACATACACACACATACACACATATACACTCTTGGTTCTGTTTCTCTGGAGGACCCTGACACTAATACAATCACTTATTTTACTTGCATTAAAAAAACAACCATATTGAAATTTTAGCCCTTTTCTTTCCATTCGTTTCCATCACACATCTCTTCCAGATACCAATCATAGTTCTTTTGATTTCTTTCGTAATAACGTCTTAAGTTGTATTCTTTTGTCACAGGCACACTTTGCATCTTAAAAAGGTAGGAATACTCCTTATTTTTACAATGATAATTTTTATAATACACTAGACTTCTTCACCTGTGTTTCGTTTTCAAACTTTTGATAGACACATAGATATAAAAAAAATTCACTTTCATCTTAATTGCACTTTAAAAAAAAAAACAAAACCCTACCATTGCAAGCAGGGATACTCACAGCCTAGAAGATGGACAAATTCTTATGCTATCAGGTCAGTAAGGGGAGTTTCTGAGGGAGGAATTATTGAGAGAGGCTCCTTGAATTGGTGATGTCCTGTGGAGTCCCATTTGAGTTCTAGACTTAGCAATTAACTCCTCTAGTATGCTTTACCAGGGCCCCTGGGAAAAGCTGGGCAGGTGACTCATTGTACAGACTTACCAGCCATGTGATAAACAGGGGCAAATGCGAGTCTGGTCGGAGGAAGGGCATCTTTTTCTGATCGGCACAGGAGCTCCAGTAAGTGCTCCATCATTGGGAATAAGAGGGGGTGTTCTATTTGGGTTGCTGGTTTATCATGCCAGTCTACCACATGCATAGTTCAGTGAATTTCTGGCCATGTGTTTAGGTAATTGAATATATCCAACAGTGCTACAACTGGGTTGACATGGGTATGAAGGTAAACAAGAGGTCATGGGTTCACTTATTAAATCTGCAACTTTTTACTGAGTACCACCTAATTTATGCCAGTTCTGGATACATGCCAGACCTCTGCATCTTGTTGCTCCTCGATTTCATGCATCAAAATTTAATTCAAGCATCACCTCCTCCAGGAAACCGTCCCATATCCCCTCCAAATCTCCCAAACTTCTCCCTCAATCTGGAAGAGAAGACCCTGCCAGATGTTTTTGACACACCTGTGCAAGTCATGTTATAATATTGCTTTCTTGCCTTGCCCCACCTCAGCCTTAAGCTGACAGAGGACAGGAAGCCCAGAGGAGTGTTTCTCAGCTCCCTCAGGAAGGGTGAGCCAAGTCAGAAGAGGATAAGGGCACAGACCAACTGAGCATGCACTGACACTGAGGGGACAGCCCAAGAGAGGCCCTCAGGGAGACCCAGAAGGGCTGGAACATTGCCTTGGATGCTAAAGCCCATTTTCTCTTTCTTAGCTCCCTAAGGAAGAGGAAATAACTGAAGAGTCACCCTCTTTGAGCCCAGGACTCCTACTTGATATAATAGGAATAACAATAACAATATTGGCTGGTTGTGAGGATTAAATCAGACAGTAGATAGGAAGTCTGTAGAGTAATTATACAGTACAATTATCTTCCAGTCAGAAATTTCCAAGGTCTTCTACTCCAGATCCTTTCTGCTCTAGGAACCCAGCCCCCCAGGCCAACTTCTGACCCCTCTTCCCTGCTCCTCTCCCCTATGCCATCGTCCCTTTTCCCTCTTCCCATCCCTCCTCCCCTCTTCCATCTCCATCCTTTCCTCCCCTCTCCCTCCCTACTTCCTCTTTCCTCTTCCTCCAGCCCTCCATTCTCTTCTTCCTTTCCCTCTTCTTCTCTGCCTCCTCCCTTCCCATCCTCCAACTCTCCTCTCTGCTTGCTTTGCCCAGGAGACAGTACACCAAATGAGAACTGAACCAAACTACCCGGATCCAAATGTAGGTCTACCACGATTAACTAAGCTTTAGATGACTCAGATGTAAAATGCAGATGTTGCTAAAAAGCAGGACTTAACTCACAGTTGCTTTGAAAATTAAATAGATATGTAGGTAATTACTTAGCAAATAGACTTGCCCTCAGTAAAGTGCTCAAGTGTTATCCATCCATTTTCCTTCTTGCCCTTTTTCTTCCTTGTCACTGAAGCCCAGGGTGAAGATGAGAAAAGAAGTCTAAAGGGTACAGTTCACAGCAACAGCACCATGACTTTCAAAGAAAGAAGCTCTTTGTAGTCTAATGCTGGCATCAAATAATGAGTCATCTTATTCATCTTCACCACACATATTTCTGGCCAATCTAGATTTTGTGGTCATAGGTGAAGACCTGTGAAATTAACACCAGGTTTTCTGATGAAAAGCAAAGGGTTTGCTTTATATGACTTTGTTCTATTTGCAGAAGTACATTTTTCTTCTGTTCTTACTCAGGAAATACCAAGTATTGGGAAAGCAAAAGATTTCGTCTTTACTAAATTAAACCAAAAGGAGAATTACATGCTATTACATGGGACAGATCTCTCTTAAAATTCTCTTCTGAGACCAAGAAAGAAATCATGAAGAGGAGTACAAATCAAGATGTGGCCCTATAGACCAGAGACTGTGTATTGTTTGTGGCAAGTTAGCACAGAAATTGGAAATGTTTAGAAACTTTCACAGCCATTAGGCATTGTCTGGATGCCCAAGCCCCCAGTTAGTGGACTCTTCTTATTCAGCTGAGTACAGAGCAGTTCAGATGTTAGATTGGTCTTTTGAGGACAGATCTGCCTATTGGTAATGCACAATGGACCACGTACTGGTCCTAGAAGAATTGGGGGGGGGGGCGGGGGGCGGCAGCGACCTGGCCCTTCATCACAGACGTTTGAGAAGCACTGATGTAAACTGTAGTTCCACAGTTTTATGTTCTCGGATCACTGATTTATCAATCTTTAAGAAGAGTTCATTTACACGAAGTTCAAAAATGTGGAAACATCAAATGTGTGGGATTTGATTGTACATTTCTTAGATGGAAAACTGTAAAACATTTTAATTTTGCCCCTCCTTGTCTAACCGGTTTTTGGCTAAACCAGCGTTGGAGCTAACCGCTCATCCTTGAGAGAACCCTGTCATCTCGTGGCTGAGAGCGTTGACTGTAAGAAAGAGTAGCGTGCTGTGGCACCGCCAGTTGTGATTGGGCAAAAAGACCTTTTTCTCGGGCAGTCCTCTTTTAGGTCAGTTTCTCCATTTCCCCGTTAAGTCCATTTTATAAACAACGGAATGGACTTTAGGGGAGGGAAAGAAAAACGGGTTCCCTACTACTTTTTAAGCGTTTCCGGCCCTAAGCAAAAGGGTTTGGCTCACGGTAGGCGCTCAATAAATGCTGTATACGTACATTTTGAAAGAATCACTTTCTACATTATTTCATAGGAGGAACGGTGGAAGATGTGAACTCCTCCGGGAGAAACCAAACATTCTCATTCGGAAGAAGACGAAGAAGGATTGAAGTGAGGCTGTAGATTCCCACACACTCATTTCTGCCGGTACTTGAAGGCGAGCGAGGAACCTGCTAATCTTAGTCCACGGGAGGGGGGTGGGGGGTGGGGGCAGACCGCGCAGGTAAACTGCAATTCCCGGCATGCCCGAGGGGGCGGGCCCGGCGGCTGCGCAGATAGGCGCGCGGCCATCACGTGATTTCGCCATGGCGGCGTTTGCGGATTTGGATCTGCGGGCGGGGTCCGACCTGAAGGCGCTGCGCGGGCTAGTGGAGAATGCTGCTCACTGTGAGTCTCCCCGGCTTCGCGGGCCGCGGTGCCTGCCCAGTCTCTCTGTCCCCCCAGACTGTCAGGCCACGCTCGGGAGGGACCCGGGCGGGCCTCGTTCCCGTCTCATGGGGTCTCCCGGCTGTCCCTGGAAGCTGAGGCCCCTGCGGTGTAGCTCTGATCCTGGGCGCGGGAAACTCGAAAGCACTGGGGAGCTGTTACCCAGTCTAGCTCCTTATTTCTTGCGAATTGAGGAAACTGAGGCCCTGACAGGGCGGGGAATTTGCATAGGGCCCCACAGCTGATGGATGGCAGAAGCCAGGGCTTCCAAGTATAGTCTCCTACGTCAGTGCTTTTAACATCGTCCTTTCCTGCGTCTCACGACAGTGTTCTGACACTCAAATGCAGGAAGCTGGTGCACCTATGGGTCCGAGAAGTGAGGGAGGGACATGGGGTCGCGAGTGTTTGAATTATATTATGTAGAGGGAGGGTTGGTGGGGGCGGAGGACATACTAGGAGAGTGAGAGGGGAGCAGCATGGCCAAAATGCCAGAATGTTACTCATATTTGAATCCAAGGGAAGCAAAAGCTCTGAGAGTTAAGACCCCCATTTTAATTACTGGAGTTAATCGCGACTGCTGTCTCTTTCCTTAGACTGTAAAATGTCTACGTGGGAATAGAGGGAGTTAAAAATAAAGAGGTTTCTACAGGGCCTGTTAAGTAATGGTTGCTCGGTAAATAATTGAGGGAGGAAGAAAAGAAGGAAACTGGACAAACTAATGAGAGGGGGGACCACTATTTTGGCATTAATATGCATTATCTTTTAATATTAATATCCTGTTGTTCCCATTGGTGTTTAAATAACTTAAAGATTGGAGTCATGATTTAGGCATGTTTTTGATAGTCCGCATGTCTAAAACAGGGCTGTGTTGAGGCTGATAAAGCAAGGCCCTGGCTTCAAAGAGTTCCCAGTCTCTTGGTGGGTAGCTCAAAGGCGTATGTGGACAGTGGTGTGAGGGAGTCGTTACTACATTTCTCCTTAGCAAAAGGGCCTTTGAAGTAGAAAGGGTAAAAAGCAAAAGAAACGAGTAAGAATGAAGGTGAAAAAGTATACACGTGATGGGATGAAAATGAACAAAAGGACACGAAGGAGAATGATGGTTTAAAGGAGTTGCGCAAAGTGTCTTTGGTATAATGCTAATAATACACCACCAAAGTCAAACAAAGCCCTGACTCTGTGCCAGCCACTGTTCTAAAACATCCTTTGCGTGTTATCTCATTGAATTCTGCCAGTCGTATAAGGTGAGTTCTGTTATTATCACCATTTGGCAGACGAAGAACTTGAAACTTAAGGTTAAGTAACTTCTAGGTAGTAATGCAAAGATTTGAAAATGGGCCGTCTGACTCCAGAGCCCATAACCATTCTTCTTACTACCTTCTAGTCTTGACATGAATTGGGATGAGCTTATGTGTAAAAGAGGTTGTTGTATTTAACAAGAATGTTCAATTTTTCTTTTCAGTGGGCTATTCAGTTGTTGCCATCAATCATGTTGTTGAATTTAAGGAAAAGAAACAGGTAAAATACAATTTCTTAAGTTAATAATAACCAGCATTTATAGTTACTTTGTGTATATTGGTAATATTGAAGCTACAGACGAGCACTCTTTGTGCATTATCTTATTTTAATGTTAATAGTTGAGCTGATGCCTATTTGTACAAATGATAGTTTTTTGTGAAGTGCTAGGGCATGGTATAAGGATTCTTAAAGTTAATTTGATGTTAAGTAACTTTCAATAACTTCTTAAAAGTGCCTTGTTATTCATTAGACTGTAATCACAATATTTAATCTTTTTTATTGTACTGTCATGGACTCATTACTAATTGATTTCTCTCCCAAACATACTAGTAAATGTGTATATCTCCCTTTAGGCCAACAACTGTTCCTTACAGATTGTTTCATTCTGAAAACTATCGTTCATCCCTCGTATCCATTGGCGTTCTCAGCTGCTTCTCTGCTTTAGCTTTTCTTCATTAAAAACACACACATGCGCACACACAACTTACTTAGTGTTTCTGAGTGCCAGAAATTAGCTTTTCTTAAGAAATATTCTTCTTTGTTGTAGGAAATTGAAAAACCAGTAGCTGTTTCTGAACTCTTTACAACTTTGCCAATTGTACAGGTAAGTGTTTTGTTTAAGAAACATAGTACTTATTCATCCAGCTCAGACATGCCCAGTCATATATGTGGTTCTCTAATCTGTACTGCCCCTTCCTCTGTCTACTAGTCTTAGCTTTCCATGAAGACTCAGCTCTTCCACGAAACATTATGTACATCTCTTTTTCTCTGGCTGTACAGGTATACCTCAGAGATATTGTAGGTCTGGTTCCAGACCATCACAATAAAGCGAGTCACACGAATGTTTTGGTTTCCTGGTGCATATTAAATTTACACTTACATTGTACTGTAGTTCAATAAGTGTGAAGTAGCATTATGTCTAAAAAAAAAAAATCAATGTATATACCTTAATTTTAAAATATTTTATTGCTTAAAAATGCTCACCGTCGTCTCAGTCTTCAGCAAGTTGTAATCTTTTTGCCCGTGGAGGGTCTTGCCTCAGTGCTGAAGGCTGCTGACCGATCAGGGTGGTGGTTTCTGAAGGTTGGGCTGGCTGCAGCAGTTTCTTAAAATAAGACAACAGTGAGTTTGCTGCATGAATGGACTCTTCCTTTCACTATGATTTCTCTGTAGCATGCAACGCTGTTTGATAGTATTTTACCCACAGCAGATCTTTCAGAATTGGAGTTAGTCTTCTCATACCCTGCCACTGCTTTATCAGCTAAGTTTATATAATATTCTGAATCCTTCGTTGTCGTTTCAACAGTTGATTAAGTTCGATGTCTTATATGGGTATGGTTTTTTTCACTGAAAACAATTACAATAGTACCATCAAAGATCAGTGATCAGGGAATTCCCTGGCAGTCCAGTGGTTAGCACCCGGCACTTCCACTGTGAGGGCCCCGGTTCGCATTGATCATAGATCACCATAACAAATATGAAAATAATGAAAAAGTGTGAAATACTGGGAGAATTACCAAAATATGACACAGAGACATGAAGTGAGCAAATGCTGTTGGAAAATGGTGCCAATAGACTTGCTCAACACAGGGTTGCCGCCACCCTTTAATTTGTAAAAAATGCAATATCAGTGAAGCACAACAAAGCAAAACACAATAAAACTAGGTACACCTGTATTATAAATTCCTTGAGAGTGAGGACTAGGTTTTACTGATCTTCACTATCTTTTATTGTTAGTACCTTTTAATGAGTACTTTCCACTGCTAAGGAGGAAAATCAGTCATTTCTATTTTGTGCTTTTTTGATTACAGGGAAAATCAAAACCAATTAAGATTTTAACTAGACTGACAATTATCGTTTCGGATCCATCTCACTGCAATGTTTTGGTAGGTTAGTTGTTTTTCTTCTCTCTTGGCCTTGTAAGTTGTATTGATTTCTGCTGAATACTGTTGTTTTTCCAACTCCTCCCATTCTTCCATCTCCCCCGACCCCCAGCGTGTGACACTTGACTGCTCTCCTTAGCTCAGAATTCACATAGTATAACAGAATCTCTTCTACTCATGGCACATGTATAAGAATACCACAATTAAAGAATCTTTCAGCAAGTGGTATTCATTGAACTTACATGAAGTAGACATAGGTGGGTACTGGGGATATTGCTATGAATAATACAGACACAATCCTTTTAAAAATGGGAGGGGGGCTTCCCTGGTGGCGCAGTGGTTGAGCGTCCGCCTGCCGATGCAAGGGACACGGGTTCGTGCCCCAGTCCGGAAGGATACCACATGCCGCAGAGCAGCTGGGCCCGTGAGCCATGGCCGCTGAGCCTGTGCGTCCGGAGCCTGTGCTCCGCAATGGGAGAGGCCACAACAGTGAGAGGCCCGCGTATTGCAAAAAAATTAAAAATTAAAAATAAATTAAAATGGGAGGAATGTTTAAAAAGTGGGAGGTAGCAAATAAGGAATGTCCTGGGAATGTGCAACAGGAGGCCCACCGAGGAAACTGATGTTCAAACAGGGGCCAGAAGAATCAGTGTTATAGGTGCCAAGTGAGGGAGAGAATGTTCCCACAGACAGGATGGATTATGCAAGGTCCTGAATCCAAGAAGAAACATGGTGCATTCTGGAAAATGAAACACCAGTTGAGTTGAGCCTGATGAGCTGTCTATCCTGGGATGTGGTTAGGGAGGTGGGTCTGGGTGAGCAATTAGAAGAAGCCTTTGAAGGTTTTAACCAAGGGAATACAATTATGAAGTTTGCATTATAGAGAATAGATTAGAAGGGATAAAGGAGGGGATTTAAGAGGCACTGGGGCTGGGGGAGAGGGGAGGATTGACAGGATTTGGATGGATTTGTTGATTGGATAGAAGGCGATGACTCCCTGCCTTGGCCTGAGCAGCCAGGTAAATAGATGGTACCATTTCCTGAGATGGGACATAGAAAGAGAAGTAAGTTTAGATCATCATGTTTCAGACGTGATGGGTTATTGTGAGAGTTCCAGTGGAGCTTGTCAAATGGGGGGTTGGAAAAAAAGGTGTGACCCTCAGAAGAGGGACCCTAATTAAAGATACTGATTTGGAAGTGGTCACCCTGTAGAGAGTAATTGAAATCATGAGACTCCTTGGTAAAAATATGTGGGAAGAGAAGGTCTAGGACAGAGCCCTGAGGAAATTCGGTATTTAATGGTGGAGTAAAAGATGAGGGATGAGCTAGGATTAGAGACTGAGGCAGGACTGTCTGAGAAGTAGGTGGACAACGAGGAATGTGAGAAGGCTCAGCAGCATCAAGGTGCCGGAGTAGTTAAGTCAGAGAAGGGCTAAAACGTGTTGAATGGGCAAGCCTCCTAATGACGTGGAGGTCATTGGTTGCCTTAGTAAAAGCCATTTCCACGGAAATGTTAGGGACGTGAGAACATGCAGCCAGTGTGTGCTGCTGACTTTGCTTGAGAAAATTGTTTCTGTGGAGGAACAGAAGGCATAGGGAGGCTGGTGGATGAGAACCTGCTGTCTAGATTTTGTTTGTTAGATGGAGACTTGAGAATGCCTGGTGCTGATGGGATGGGTCCAGTGAGGGAGAGAGAAAGTGAGATCTCTGAGAAGGTGAGCTGTTTCATCTTTAGCTGGAATGGCCTCCTCTATCATAGAACAGGAGTAATCAAGGAAGGGCTGGCCTCCTTTCTAACATTAGCATTGCTAAAGAAATTACAGAAAGCCAAATTTTGGGATTTTATACAACTGCAGGCAGCATTCTGCTTATCTAAGCCCAGGGAGACATAAATGGAGCTGACTTTTTATGGTCACAAAGAGTTTGATTTTCTCTTGTTATCATGAACATCCTGGTGGCCCCTATTTGTCCACATCCCAGATGGGAGTGGGCAAGCAGAGGACAAAGAGTCCTGGATCCTGACTTTTTCTGAGACCTGGAGCCTGCCCTGTCTCAGCATACATCTGCCCAGCAGGTTTTCTTACCTGCTCAAGCACAGTACCTGCTGCTTCTCTTCAGCCTATCTCTTTCCTCCTCTAATTTTTATCATGCCTTTTCTTTTTACAGAATAAGAGGTAAAAAATTTTAAAGGTGCCAACAGGCAAAGAAGAAATATCCCATATCTCATCACTCAGAGATTGTACTCTTGAATATATATTTTTCCAGCCTTTTCACATGCATACACATATAAGTTTGAGACTTTCTTTTATAAACAACCTTTAACGGATAAATTTCTCCTGTCTTAGGACTCTCGGGTATTTTCTTGCATGCTTAGCAGTTTAATTTGTATTTAACAGTATTCTCATTGTGAACCTAATCACATCACACTTAGTCACGTGTATTTCTTATCTCACCAAAAAATGGTGAGTTCCACTGAGAACAGACATATGCCTTAAGTGATTTTGTATCCCCAGTGCCCCACACACAGCAGGTGCTCAGTAAATTTCTGGCAAGCTCTCCACTAGCTTGTAAGAGCAGCAGCTATCTAATTTGATTTTTCTATCTCAAACAAAATGTTTGGTACACAGTTAAAGTATAACAATGTGGGAAGGAAGGAAGGAGGATGATTCCTTCCTCCTTGGTGGGATGGAAGTTGGTATCTGGAGTCTCATGTGCTGAGGAGGTCTTTTCTGACAACATACAAAGCAGAGCAGAAATGTCAGTGGCATATTAGAAGTGTTACACGATTGAAATATAAGTGCAGCCAGGACATTAGTCAGAATTCCATATGCATTTGTTGTTGTATGGTAACATTCTTTTTATATTACTAGAGAGCAACTTCTTCAAGAGTCCGGCTGTATGATATCGTTGCAGTTTTTCCAAAGACAGAAAAACTTTTTCATGTAAGTAACAGTAAAAGAAAATGGTACTCATTATTTTATATAAGAAGTTTGATGTTATACCTTTGTAGGTGACCTGTATCATCTCATCTGGAAACTTTGAGGATTTTTCATTTATACTTGGTGTTCTGGAATTGCACAAGGGTGTATTTGGGTGACATATTTTGTTTTGTTTTATTTATTCTGCTAGATATTTGATGGGCTGAGATTTTTTAAAAGAGTCCATCAAGTTTTCTTCTGTTTCTTTATCTCTGCTTCATTCATTCGTTTGAAACTTCTCTTAGGTAAATGATGGTCCATCTCTTTCTAGCTCTAAAAGCGCTTCAGTTTCTGCCCTTCTTACTATTCGCTGCTGCCTGTGACAGAAGAAGGGAGCAAGGTTCTACTGTGGCATAGAAGATCCCTTCTCTGTTTTAGCTTTCCCGTTTGTGTGCTCTGAGGTGTGGTCCATATGCCAGCATGATCTTATCAGCCTTTGGTCTTCTAGAAATCCTTCAGAATCAACCATCTGCTGATACTATTCCTTTTTGTATAAGAGAACCTTTATGAATTTAATTTCTTTTGTCCTTTTCAAATGGCCATTTCTATGACTTTTCAGGAAGGAAAATTGTTTAATGTGTATGGTCATTTTGTCAACTTGAGACAGAACACACTGGGCATTGTAAGTGATCACAGAAAAGAAAAAATCAAATGTAATATAGTTTTTCAGGAATATGTTTTACTGTGTAAAGTGAGGTATAGCTCCTTAAGAAGTTTGGAATGTAGTCTTTATTTAGGTAGCCATCTACCAAAAGTGTATCCACTAAAGGGATATTATGGGGGGGGAAAGAAAGCACTGGTCTTTGATGTTTTACTTTTACAGCATAATTTGTTTTTAAGCAAAGTCCGTTCTAAAATTATAAGATTTTCCCTAAGTTTATCCAGTAGATGGAGTTGCTGACTAAGGAGACTCGTATGTGGCAAATTTCATTTTCAAGGCACATTAACAATTCTTAATTGTTTATACAGTAAGTACCCTATATACGAATGAGCTCCGTCATTCATAAGTCCAATTTGTTTATAAGTCCAACAAAGTTAGCCTAGGTACCCAACTAACACAATCGGCTATATAGTACTGTACTGTAATAGATTTATAATACTTTTCACACAAATAATACATAAAAAACTAACAAACACAAAAAATAAAAACATTTTTAATCTTACAGTACAGTACCTTGAAAAGCACAGTACTACAGTACAACAGCTGACATACAGGGGCACGTTTGCATCTTTGAAAGTTCGTAATTTGAAGGTTTGTATGTAGGGGACTTACTGTATTAATGCAGAGAAATAGTACAAGTTATCTGTGAATTCCTGTTTTTGGGTGACTCCTTTTCTAAAACGCTCAATTATAGTAATTCTCAAGAATTTCATTTCAGAAAAACGGGGAGTAGGATTGAGTAGTTCTTAGTCATCAGAGACCCCTGTGGAACCTTTTAAAATCAGGCACGTTCAGATCTCCACTGTTGGAGATTCTGATCCAGTAGGTTTGGGGTTGAGTTTGGGTATCTTTTTTTAAGTTCCACAGGGGTTCTAATTCAGTGCTGAAACCCTAAGATGGACCATGGATATGTCCAAATTTATTAAACAGCAATTTAGTTTTGTTATTAAATATTAACAACTCACTTATACTGTAGACTAAAAGTTGGTAGTGTACCCAGTTTTTTATTGTACACTTGTTTTTCAAATGGATTTTGAAGAGCATACAACTTAAAATTTCCATAGCCATTTACTGGTGATTAGAGAAAACAACAATCCTGGGGATAATTGGGACAAAGGCCTATTATTATCCCCATTTTGTAGAAGAGAAAATTGAGACTTAGGCTCAATGATTTGCTCTAAACTTAAGGTAGTTATGTCATAGAGATAGGACTTTGGAGTCTTAGAATACATTATAATTTGATTTAGTGAATTTATCTTATTACTTGTTCTTCTCAGATTATTCACAAGTTTTAATTCAAAACTGTGAACACATAATTCATGATGATGGGTGGAACAGTCAGAAATACTCTGGAAGATGGAAGAAAGCTATAAATAATTGACAGAGTATTTGTTTGGAATTGACTGCAGAGAAAACAGTTTTTAAAATCAGAACATCTTATCTTTCCAAATCTTACCCATCCTTTAAGATTCAGTTGAAGTTGACATTCTCCCTGTTTTATATAGAAAATCAATTTAAAAAGACTTTTTTCTTTTAATTATAAAGCTTTTGTAAGCATATCATGGTTTGGAATTGGGTCAGATGCAAGCAGTTTGTTGCTTAACAGGTTATGTTCTGTTAAGTGATTTTATTTGTTTGGTTTGTAAGTTGATTATCTAGAATGTAAACAAGTGTCCGTAGATATGATATTCTGTAACTAAGGTCTCCAAAATGAGTTATAAAAGCATTCCTATACACATGTTAACAATTAGTAGTATAAAATCTAACCACCTTAAATGGAGTTGTTTCCATGGGAAATAACATACTCTTTTCCACTCAGAGTATCTGGAAGATATCTCATAGATAAATCCTTTTTCTCCATAGTTACCCCAGGGGATAAGGCAAAGATGAAAGACTGTAAGCAGATTCCATTGGCTGGGGCTTCTTAGGATGGGGGTGATGGTGGAATTTGAGAGAGAGAGATACATAGAAGTTTCAGGAGCTTCTGAGTTAGTTATTCCCATTTAGGATTTTTAAAAAAATTTTTATTGAAGTACAGTTGATTTACAATGTTATGTTAATTTCTTCTGTACAGCAAAGTGAATCAGTTACAGACATATATATTCTTCTTCATATTCTTTTCCATTGTTACTCCCATTCAGGACAAGACAGGGTGAGGAGAATTCAGGTTATTTAGTCCAATGGTCTCCAAACTACCTTGAGTGTGTACTGTATCAATTAAAAAAAATAGTGATCCGACATCCCCAATATGTGTATGTTTATTTTCTTTTAAATTATTTGCATGTAATTTCATAACTTGTATGGAAACACAAAAGACCCCGAATAGCCAAAGCAATCTTGAGAAAGAAAAACGGAGCTGGAGGAATCAGGCTCCTGGACTTCAGACTATAGTACAAAGCTACAATAATCAAAACAGTATGGTACTGGCACAAAAACAAATATAGATCAGTGGAACATGATAGAAAGCCCAGAGATAAACCCACACACACATATGGTCACCTTATCTTTGATAAAGGAGGCAAGAATATACAATGGAGAAAAGACAGCCTCTTCAATAAGTGGTGCTGGGAAAACTGGACAGCTACATGTAAAAGAATGAAATTAGAACACTCCCTAATACCATACACAAAAATAGACTCAAAATGGATTAAAGACCTAAATGTAAGGCCAGACACTATAAAACTCTTAGAGGAAAACATAGGCAGAACAGTCTATGACATAAATCACAGCAAGGTCCTTCTTGACCCACCTCCTAGAGAAATGGAAATAAAAACAAAAATAAACAAATGGGACCTAATGAAACTTAAAAGCTTTTGCACAGCAAAGAAAACCGTAAACAAGACAAAAAGATAACCCTCAGAATGGGAGAAAATATTTCCAAATGAAGCAACTGACAAAGGATTCATCTCCAAAATTTACAAGCAGCTTATGCAGCTCAATATCAAAAAAACAAACAACCCAATCCAAAAATGGGCAGAAGACCTAAATAGACATTTCTCGAAAGAAGATACACAGATTGCCAACAAACACATGAAAGAATGCTCAACATCATTAATCATTAGAGAAATGCAAATCAAAACTACAATGAGATATCGTCTCACACCGGTCAGAATGGCCATCATCAAAAAATCTACAAACAATAAATGCTGGAGAGGATGTGGAGAAAGGGGAAGCCTTTTGCACTGTTGGTGGGAATGTAAATTGATACAGCCACTATGGAGAACAGTATGGAGGTTCCTTAAAAAACTAAAAACAGAACTACCATATGACCCAGTAATCCCACTACTGGGCATATACCCTGAGAAAACCATAATTCAAAAAGAGTCATGTATCACAATGTTCACTGCAGCTCTATTTACAATAGTTAGGACATGAAAGCAACCTAAATGTCCATTGAGATGAATGGATAAAGAAGATGTGGCACATATATACAATGGAATATTACTCAGCCATAAAAAGAAACAAAATTGAGTTATTTGTAGTGAGGTGGATGGACCTAGAGTCTGTCATACAGAGTGAAGTAAGTCAGAAAGAGAAAAACAAATACCGTGTGCTAACACATATATACGGAATCTAAAAAAAAAAAAGTCATGAAGAACCTAGGGACAAGACAGGGATAAAGACGCAGACCTACTAGAGAATGGACTTGACACGGGGAGGGGGAAGGGTAAGCTGGGACAAAGTGAGAGAGTGACATGGACATATATACACTACCAAATGTAAAATAGATAGCTAGTGAGAAGCAGTCGCATAGCACAGGGAGATCAGCTCGGTGCTTTGTGACCAGTTAGAAGGGTGGGATAGGGAAGGAGGGAGGGAGGGAGAAGCAAGAGGGAAGAGAGATGGGGATATATGTATATGTATAACTGATTCACTTTGTTATAAAGCAGAAACTAACACACCAGTGTAAAACAATTATACTCCAATAAAAAAATTATTTGCATGCTCCATTATATCAGTGTGCTTTATGAAATAATATACACACACTGAACAAAACATTTTAAGGGAAGGAATTAAAAATAAATGAAAATAGAAGTTCTGTTTTCTTCCTGCTTAATCCATGCCTTACTGTTTGCAGAGCATTATTGTAGTATATGCTGCTAACACCTGAGGCTACTGAAAAGGCGTATCTTTCAAGGCAGTTCTTTTTAAGGTATGCTCTGGCTCCACTGGTGTCAGATTTCCCAGGAAACCTTGTTAAAATGCAGGTTATTAGACCCTGCTTACTGAATTTACTGCTGAGAGTAGGGCCTGGTAATCTCCATTTTAAATAAATTCTTCAGGGAGGTTTGTTTTTTTTCTTAAAACAGTTTAGTTTGGGAGGCCCCATTTACGGGCATCTCTTTTTTCCCTGGTCAAGCCTGGCTCTCCCTTGAATAAAATATTAGAATGTACTAACCTGACATCCATGAAGGGGAGTTGGGGGAGACTGAACCCCCTTCTCTTATTCCGCTTGTTCCATAAAATCAAAGATAAATGTATGTGTGTATATGTGCAGTTTGGGGAATACCTTCCTTAAATCCTCATAGGAATCCTTGGCCAAAGAAAAGGTTAAGAACAATTGATATGAATTCATATACAACCTGCCAAAACCACTATAATCAAATTCTCAACCACAAGTATATTTGGACGTAACTTAATATTTTTAATGATTTAGAAAGCATTTCATTATGGTGTGAACATTAGCTCTTATTTTATAGTTATCTAAATGTATCAGTTGAACATTTGGATTAATAGAAAGCTAAATAACAAAAGAATTCGGTTTGAAACATTTTAAGTCTGAGGTGTCAGAGGGAGCCAAGTGGAGCCATCCTTTGTAACTGAAAGTTTATTATAATGCATGTACTTAAACCAGCACAAGGGATATTTTTTAATTAGCTACTGTTATATAAAAGAGGGAAAAAAGGAGCAATACATAAATAAAAAAGTAACCTAATTTAGCTTTACTCTGGGGAAGAATGTTTAACAGGCTTTTAAGAAATGAATCAGCTTTTTGAAATGAAAAATAATTTGTGTTTGTAATAATGAATTGAAACAGTGCAAAGAGGTATGCACTGAAAAGTACACCTTCCTCCCACCCAAAACGCTCTCTCCCTTTTCTCCAGAGGCAACCACTGCTAGCAGTTCTTGTGTTTCTTTTCAGAAGTATTTTTACCTAGTCCTTCCTTCCTTTCTTCATTCTCCTCTTCCTCTCCTTCCTTCCTAATACCAGGTTTTTTCACCTGGCAGTATATCTCGGAGATGGTTCCATAATATCCACTAGAGAGGTACCTCATTCCGTTTAAGGAGTCAGCATATTCTCTTGCATAAAGGGGCCATAATTTTTTTAAGTAAAATTGAGGGATGTTTAGTTGTGTCTAGACTTTTGTAATTGGTGTTGCAGCGACCGTCCTTTCACCAATATCCTCAAGCATTTGTAAGGTATATGGCTATAGAATGCATTTCTAGTCTCTATAGGATACATTCCTATACTTATAGGAATTTGCTGATGTGTGCTTATAAAATTTTGATACCTATTGCTGAAATGCTTTTCAAGACCCTGTACTGATTTAAAGACCCTGTGAGTCCCTGTTTATTTACTTTTGTGTCACCTGTATATTGCTAAACTTTTTGATCTTTGCTAATCTGGTAGTTTAAAAATGGCAAACAGAAGCTGAGCGTGTTTTATGTTTTATCTGCTATTCAGACCTTTACTTCATCCATTCTTATCAAATTTTCAATGACTCTTTTATGAGTTGGACAGCTGTAGCAGTTGGGATGGGGCAGATTCTTTATGAGCCAAGTGTTTCTGCCAAACCAGCCTTACTTCCCAGGCTTACTAAGTTACTACGACTGTCTTAAAGCCAGGCAGCCCCTGATCACTACCTGCTTCCTGGAGCCCTGGGGTGGGGGTAGGAACGACTGAAGTGGGGATTCTGAAGAGAAAGGATAAGATGTGACATTCCTGTCACTGCTGAAGGTCGAGCTGACCCTATGGGGCATTGTCACCCCCTCTTGACCCCTTCCTCTTGGTCCGTGCCACGGATGTTAGTTTGCCAGCACAGCCACCCTGGCAACTTGGATTTGTTTGTCAAGCCTGATTACACCAGCATTGATAGTAAGGCTTATTTTTGTCATGGTACAAAACAGCCAATTCCTTGTATTGCTGTAAATCAGATAATGGCAAAATGAGAGCCGGGTATGCAGCTGCTAGCCCTGTCTTTTGGCCTGCACTGTTATGCTAGTAACCTTTCCCTGGCTTTATGTTCCTTCCCTGATTTTCCTTTTATGCTCATTTCCTTATCTATTTATTTTATCTTGCATGTCTTTTTTTATAAGCGGCTTCAAATCTCTTTTGGAAGTAAATGCAGAGTATCAACAAATAATAGCAAAAATGAGGACAAAGGAAAGGGAAATTAAAAGTTGAAAAAAATGCATTCAGTGTCATTTGATTTATAACAGCTCTGCTTTGACCATTTATGGAGATGCTCTGTTTCTATTAGCATTTGAACAAAATGCCATTAGTAGTGCCATATATTTCTTTGGCCAGTCAATAGACTGATAGGAGCCACAGGCGTGGGCCAATTACTGGCACAAAAATAAATAATTTCTGGAGTAAGTGGACCATGCATACATTCCTTTTGGCTTATTTATTTATTTTTTCTTGGATTTCAGAGCAGTTAGTTTCTTTTTTCTAGAACAATCTGAAGTAACCTTCCAGAAACTCAGCCTCTCTTAGCAGCCCCTCCTTATGTAGCTGACCATGAATTAGAGGGTCTCTAGACCCTATCTGTTGAGATGGTCTATAGACATATCACTCTGCTTCAGCTAGATTACAGCTAAACCATTCAAACCAAGTGTGAAGGAATGGCTAAGCATTGACTTTGTAAAGGGACAAATGTATTTGAACACAGAACCGTGTAATGCCTATGGAGTGAGCCATATCTATTTACATTTCTTTGTATCACGTTTGACCCTACCCCATTCTTAACATGTGCCAATTTTCCTTTTGGATTTACCTGTTTTTTTCTTCTTGACAGGTTGCTTGTACACATTTAGATGTGGATTTAGTCTGCGTAACTGTAACAGAGAAGCTACCATTTTACTTCAAAAGACCCCCTATTAATGTGGTAAGTGGCACAGTTTCCATTCTATATGTGAATCTCTACATGTGCATTAACACACTGGAAAAGGGGCAGAAGAAACTGCTGTTCTTAGAGGGGAAAAAACAAAGGCTAGTAATAAATAGGCAATTTAAAAAGAGGATTTTTTTTTTCTAAGCTGACTAAACGTAGAAAAGAAAGCTTAAAATAAAAAATATCCAGTGAATTACCAAGATGTGTTTGAAAGGCCTTAGAAGCTCAAATTTGTGAAGGAAATTTCCTAAGAGGATAGCTAATAATGATGGACACTTACAGTCTGAATGTTGAACATTAAGGAGACAGAGCAGCCAAGAAAGGCGTAGGACAAAATAGAGAGAGGGTTGCCAAGGCACCAGCAAACGGGAAGGTGGGGTGGCAGGGACTGGAGGGGGCAGGGCCTGGAAAGCACGGTAGGCGTGGTCTCTGCAAAATTAAAATTGGCATTGAAATGTGCTGGCTCACACAAAAGCCCAAGGTTACCTTTATGATAACCGAAGAGGGGGACCAGGCATTCAACAGATCTTGTGCTCCTTCCTCTGCTATAGAATTTTTCTCGTAATTTCTCTTGTTTTCCTCTACTCCTTATCTTCCACCTGTCACACCTTTTTATGTCTTACTCCATCATAAAAGTGATATTGATTCACAATGGGAGCTGTAAGGTTGGCAGAGCTGTCAACTATTTGCATTGACAACCAGATCCTGGGAGGAGTTAGGATGCTTTTGAATAGAGGCTTCCAAAGCTCTCTCCCATTCTCAAGAAGTGCTGTTGAAGGAGAAAAAAGGTTTGACAGACAATCTAGATTACATCCCCAATTCTGTCAGAATTGGAAAATTAAAAATTTATGGATTTTCAGGATAGATAACTCCCCTATTCTTTTGTCTCTGTAGAATCACAAGTTCTTCAATTTTTGTTTTCCCTCTCCACTGCTAAGGAATTAGCTTGATGCTGAGAGTAGGGAGATACTGTGAGAGGAGAAAATGATCTGTATGGTATGGAAAAATTGAATGCAGTGTGGAAAAATTTAAGATGGCTTGTGTTCTACCCCTAAGTGTGTGCTACTAAAGCTGTACTTGAAAAGTATTCAGAATTTTAAAGTTATATATTTAAAGGGCAAACTATAAAACAGCTCTTTTCTGATCAATAATGAGAGTACTACTGAACATATAACAATATTGGTTAAGCTCAAATCATTGTTTCCCCACATTCTTGCCAGTACTTAAATAAGTAAACACTAAAAAAAAAAGACCCTTAATCATCACATTTTAGAATTGGAGATACATGTTGTTAAAAGTGGTAAAATGAAGAAGGAGAAGCTGTTCAGCTCTCCAGACACAGGGGTGGGACAGACCTGGTTGACTCCCCATCAGATGAGGTCTCCAATGTGCCCCAGCTACCATGATAAAAGGCTCAAACTAACACAGTTCCCAAGGTTATGACAGTCTTACTGGCCTCACATGCTGTTGCTCCCCAGAGCTAGTAGTGTCTGTCTCTAGAAGGTTGCCAAAGCTTTTTGCCAGCTTCACACTGCCAATCCATTTTCCATGTAGATGGCACCCTCCTTAAGTTGCTCTTAAACTTACAACTTTTTTGCTTTTCTCTTCACCTTAATGAACTAGGAAGGCCATTTTCTAGATGGCTTTGCCTGAGTAAACCCACATACGATACTGTGTCCTTGGCTGGGAGGAGATAGTGCATGTGATGCTAAGGCCAAGTCCATGGAATAGACAGCAGTGCACAGCACATAATTCCTCATGTCCCACAACAGTGATAAGCTGCCCAGTGGCTGTTTTGGCTTCGTCCTTTGATTGGTTTCTTAGGAATGTGCCCTGCTGTCCAACCCAGATTGTGAGCTTCTAGACAGCACCAGCTGTGTCATGGTCCTTTTTTCATTACTCAAATACCTTGCTTATAAGAGGTCTTCCCTAAAATCTGTCAGTTGAACGAGTATATGTCTAATTTTGCATGTCTGGGTACAGCTTGGGGAACACAGCCAAATCCTGTGAACCGTTAGTCCTTAGCTGGTTGTCAGGGCTTGGCAGGCAGCATTCACTGTGAGGGGGGGTGGGGCATTGGGGCGGCGTGAGGAGGAGATGCACTGGAGGCGGCAGCACTAGGACAGCGCACCTTTTGATTCCATCTGTAAGTTCCTGAAGGTGCTATTTTTTGATGGATATTTTTGGCTTCATTCCCACATTTTTCAATTTAAGAATTCTGAAAAGTAAAAATTTGACAAGTGAGAGGTATAGGCAGTACTTAACACAGTGTCTGCTTTTTTAAAAATCTGGTATGAACATTTTACATATGTTGTTTAATAAAAACTAGATGATGGAGTAGAGGGAAGGCTGTGCAGTATTATTTTTAGCCCTCGTCTAGTGTAGAAGTAGGCTGCGGTGTGAATTGGTCAGGAAGCAGAAGAGTCCCTATTAATTCATTCACCTCTTTTTTATTTAAGAGAAACTGGAATTAAAAGTTAAATTAATTAAAATTAAATTAAAAGCTAGAAGCATACAATAAAAAGTGTCTACCTTATTGTTCAGGGTAAATAATAGTAGTTGTATAGGTATCTTAATTTGGATGGCATGGTGAGAAATAGGAGCATTAAAGTATTTAATTCATTAGCCTTTAACCTAGAGGCCATAAGCCATGTGCGAATTATCAGCTCAGAAGGTTGGGATTGTAGGTCAAAGGGTATAGATTTTCACTTAAAAAAAGAACAAGTTCTGAGGCTCTAATGTACAGCGTGGGTGACTGTAGTTAATAGTCCAGTATTGTAACTCAAAAATAGTTGAGAGAGTATCCTAGGCACTCTCACCACAATCACCACACACACAAAAAAACAAACAAAAAAACAAAAAAAATGGTTAACTATGTCAGGTGGTGGATGTGTTAATTATCTTGATCCCAGTAATCATTCTACAGTGTAGAGTATATGTATATCAAATCATCACGTTGTAGACTTTAAATATATGCATTCTATTTGTCAATGATCCCTCAACAAAGTTATAAAAAAAAAAAAGAAGGTTGGGATTATAAAGGAGGGCCCAGGAGCTAAAACATACCAAAGCACTCCTTATGTATAACTTTCAGCTCTCAATCCTTTTGTTATTTTCACCACATGCTTAGGGCACCATAATTTCAATTATGTTAATTCCCTCTAAAATCTCCTGCAAACCTCCTCTGGAGTCTTAAGTAAGTTGTATGGGAATCATTTTATCATGTAATAGTTGGGTTTCAAAAAAGTTGAATTCAACTCCTCTTCTTGAATAGCCAGATGGCTTCTAATTATTTAGCATTTTAAGGCTTAAGCACTTTCACACCTGCTCTAGCCCAGCAGCTTTAGGGTGGGGTAGATGTGAATTACCTCTGTGATGCAGGTGATGGAATTGAGACTCAGGTAGTTTGTGGCTCACAACAGGTACATGTCTCTCTCAAAGGTTGACTTGGGATTTGTACTTAAGCTTTGATTCTAAATCTGCTGTCATTTCCCACTGGGAAATGCTATTTAAAATTACTTTACAGCAGAGCTCTTTGTTACGCACAGAATAATTTCATATTTTAAAACATGATCTTTATGAATTCAGGCTTTGAGAAGAATTTTTTTAAGCAGCACGTATCTTCACCTTTGATTTTTTTTTTACAGTGTTAGTGCCATTCAACAATAACTTCAAGTTTATTGAGCCATTTCCAGTGATTGTATGTTTTATGCTCTCTTTCCGATGTTTTCCCCTCAGCATTTCCTTTAACCCTAATCCATTTCTGTCTTCATGGTCCAGTTAGTCCCCACTGAGAGAAATCCAGTAAATAGTATCTGAAGCAGTGAGGTTGTTCCAGGAATCTTGCCATATATCCTTGAGTTGGGTGTGAGTGCTCTATAAACTTTATTTTTCATCACACATATTGTGAACCTAACTATGTTAAGTACTTTATTGATCCAGTACTTGGAGCAGTGCCAGCAAACCTGTCAGTATCAAAAAAAATGTGTGGCCAAGAAAAAAAAAAAACATCAGAAACAAAGTGAAAAGGACTAATGACAGACTGGTAGAAATAGTTTCACTTATATCATAGACAGGTGACTAATCTCTGTAATATATAAAGAGCTCCTAGAAATTGATAAGGTTAAAAAAAAAAGAGAGAGATGATCAATCTAAAAAAATGGATTAAGAATATGGAAAAGACATTTCACAGGAAAGGAAATACAAATGGCCTTTTAACAAATGAAAAGATGCTTAAATTCATCATGCTAAGAGAAATGCACGTTAAAATCACCTATCTGATTGGCACAAACCCAGAAGTTTGATGATACACTTTTGTGAGGCTGTGGGAAAGCAGGCATTCTCATACTTTGACGGTAGCAGTGTAATTGGAACAGTCCTTACGGGGCAGTGGGTAATTTGGCAACAACTATCAAAATTATAAATGCTTTACCCTCTGACCTAGTGTATTAGTTTCCTGGGGCTACCATAACAAAGTACCACAAATGGGGCGGCTTAAACTAACAGAAGTGTATTGGCTCACTGTTCTGGAGACTGGGCGTCTGAAATCAGGACATTATTGGGGTTATGGTCCCTCTGAAACCTTAGGGGAGTCCTTCTTTGTCTCTTCCTAGCTTTTGATGGTTTGCTGGCAATCTTTGCTGGTCCTTGGCTTGCAACTGCATAACTCCGATCTCTACCTCTGTCTTTACAACATGTTCTTTCTCCCTGTCTGTCTTCACATGGCCATCATCTTATAAGTACAGCAGTCCTACTGGATTAGGGGTCCGCCCTATCCCAGTGTGGCCTCATCTTAACTAATTACATCTACAATGACGCTATTGCCAATTAATGTTACATCCTAAGGTACTGAGGATTAGGACCCCAACATAACCTTTTATGGGGGGAAACAATTGAACCCATAATATCCAGCAATCCCCCAAAACACTAAAAAATTAGTGTTTATGCTGTAGATTGACTGGAACGACCCAAAATCTATCAGTAGAGGCTTGGGTGAATGCCATACCTCTGCAGTGGAGCACTCTGCAGCTGTAAAGCAGTGCTGCAGTTAGGAGCTGACGTGGAAAACCCTTCAAGTCAGAACCAGAATGTAGTAGGCTACCTTTGGGGTAAGAGAGAGGAAAAATAATAATATATATTCATATTTGCTTGTATCTGTATGAAGAAATGCTAGAAAAAGACACAAGAAGTTAGTGAAAGTGATTATGGGAGGTGTGGGTGGGGCAAGTGGGAGCAGAGATACAGTGAAGGCTTTTTTGCTTTCTTATGTTACTTGATTTGTGAATCATATGAACAAGTTACCTGTCTCAAAGAATGAAACCAGGAATGACACCAACAGTATCATCCTTTCGAATTCAATAAAGAACTAATTTTTATGAAATTAACAGGGAATCTGTATATTGTCCCAGTAATCAACCCCCTATTTCCTTTCTCTCTTCTTTCTCTTAAGCTTTGCTTAGTTCTTGGAATTTTACCACCACCATCTCTTTTCAAATATCACACACCTGTTCTTGGTTTGTAGCATCGTTATGACTGTTATTTCTCATTAGTAAAGAAATCATCTGCCTATTCCAGAACCTTTGGTCAGAGATGCAGACAAAAGCCAATCAGGCAGGCACTGGCATTCTTTATGAAAAGGCTGTTAGGAACAATCAGGTGATGAGCTTAAGGCAATTTACATTAAAATGGGCTTAGAAGCAGGAGCTCAGGTAATGAGTCTGTATTTCATCTGTCTAAAAATTTTAAATAAGGTGTTATGAAAGAAATGTTCACAGCCTTCAGTAGCACATTATCTTCAGTTTCTCTGAGAGTTTTCAGCTTGAAAGTGAATTTGATTAATGTACTAAGATCAGAATCAACTTTTTTCTTAAAAAATAATTAAGTGGATAATTATGTCCATCTAACCCTCTCCAACCCCCAAAAAAGGAGTTGTATTTTGATCTGGTCCCCAAGGAGGGGGCAGCAAATTTTCCAGAATTCTTTGGGACCTGGTCACCTAGTTCTGTGTGTCATCCACGTCTTTTATGTCCCCTCTTCTCCATCCTACCGACTTGTGTTTTAGTTCAGCAACTAGAGGGATGAGGAAAAGAAATACCTGTAAGTAAGCCTCTTTGGCTAATTAGTAGTTTTGGTAAGAGAAATAGCCAGGGGGATAGTTGAGACTACGTTTAAAGGACATATTTTGGTTTATCTGTGAATTTCAGTTTGCCAAGTTAACCCTGGTTTCTTTTGTGATGGCTAATCCATAGTGAACAGCATTATCACATGACCTCTTTTCCATAAGCTACTATTTATTCACTCAGAATATAAATATATTAAATGCTTTTTGTATAAAAGACAGTTCTGTGTTACAAAGAAGTATCATGATACCAGCTCTCAAGTGTACAAGTCAGGCAGGGAGAATGAGATATATATTTATGGCACAAAGAGTATCATAACAGACATCATTCCCAGATATAATTAACACAAGCCAAAGAATTGGAGGCAGGAAAAAGTTGTCTGAAAAGGGGAGAGGGGGAGGTTGCAGTGTGGAAAATAGCATGTAAATGCTAATTAAACTAATATCATATATATAGGGCAATCTAAAATAAATTCTGGGCACCTCAAGGCAGGCAGAAAAGTTAAGGAAAGGGAAGATTGGGGGGTGGGGCAGAAGAAAAGAAGTCTTTGTTCAGGAAGGGCAAGTGGAAGGAATCTGCCAGTACATGTGAATTAAATCAAGGTGGACTGCCAGATCTGAAGAAGACAGGTTTTTCCAGTCCTTGTAACACGCAGGAGTAGACCTCCAGCAGTCACAGCTGGACCAGTCCCAACTCATCCTCTGGGTAATAAATAGAAAATCGTTTGCCAGGCAGAGACTTGGACCATAGTGCCTGGTCTTTGCCTGCTTTTCCTCCTTTGCTCCTTTGAAAGACCACTGAAACCAAGCGACTTTGCCGTCCTGACTCTGATTATCCCCTCCATGCTAAAATCCTTAGATGCTTCGTGTGGCTATTAAGATTAATTCTGTCTCCGTTTGGCAGTTCCCATCCTCTTCAGCCCCCACTCCCACCACAGGGCTCTCCTCATTCTCTCCTCTCCAGCCTTTGACCTTCTCTACATGCTACATGCTTCCTCCAACCCTAGAGCTTCTTCACATACTGCCCCCTCCCTCTGCAAATGCTCCTCTCTCTGCTAGTTAATCAAGTCCTTCCTCACCCACTCCCAGACTTCTTGATGGCACTTAGCACAGTGGAAGTTTTGTATTTTTGTGTAATTATTTGATGGTCTCCTGCATTAAACTGGAAGCTCTTACAACAGAGGAACCATGTCAGCTTTTGCTCACCCATTCCCACGCACAGCTGGCTTAAAAACCTATCTGTTGTGAATGGATGAAGATTTGAATCACTCATCAGGGAAGCTGCATAGTGTAGTAGATCCCATTGCCACTTCTTCCAGGCTGTTTTCTTACCTGTGGATGCCTGCCTATTAAGAACATCTTAAATAAGAAAGAAGTTTCTTTTTCTCATGTAAAACGCCAAGCTAGTATGGTAAGCTTGGCAGAATTGTCAAGGGCCCAGGTTGCTTTCATCTTTTTTGCCAGGCATCCATGAGCCCCGTTTAAGATCAGGGGCTCTGTTAGTAAAGAAAAAGGGGAGAAGAGAAGAGATAGTGGGGCAGTTAGCTGTCTCTGCCACAGTGCCTTCTAAAGGTATTGTAGGGGTTAAATAAATACATAAGACTCTTAGCACAGTGCCTAGCACATGGCACTCAACTGTGGCCCGTTAGTTTCTTCCTTCAACATATGCATAATAAATGACTTACCCGAGAGGCGTTCCACTCCTGTTCTTTGGACGTTTTTCAGCTCATTTCTTTGTCTCTTCATTCTTGGGTCAAATTACTTGGTTTACTATGTTTGCAAACAGTTTATCCTGCGTGTAGGGAACATCTCCGGTTTCCTTTTGATAATTCATGGAGTAGTAGCCCTTCTGCCACCCCACTGGGACGTTGCTCTCCTCAGCCTCTTGATGATTCCTGTTTATATAAAGTCAGCTTCCCCACAGCTAAGATAAACTCTGTTGAGACAGAGCCACAGATCTGTTTTCTTCTCCTGTAGATGGTGCCATTCGGGCACAAATCCGCCTTTATTCAAGGCTGTACCTGGACATGCAGGAGGTGGGCAGTGCGGGGGAGGGGTGTGAGGTGAGGGGGAAGTTCAGTGAAAATAAAGTAAGACAGTGTGTGTTTAGCTTTAACAGTTATTTTCTTCATTTCCTGTGAAGGCAATTGACCGAGGTGTGGGCTTTGAACTTGTCTATAGCCCCGCTATCAAAGACTCCACAATGAGAAGGTACACAATTTCCAACGCCCTCAATTTGATGCAGGTCTGCAAAGGAAAGGTATGGCTCCATAATTTTAGGATATTTTTCAAACCTAGCAGTTTATTATTATTAATATACTGGGGTTATCAAGCTGACCCCATATCCTTAAAGCAGAAAGTTCTCAATGCACAGCAACAAATTCTCCCATTTCAATGAGCTCTGCAAGTTTTAAGAGAAAGAAAACTATCCTAAGGAAGAATAATATGAGGGGGGGAAAGTTATATTGAAAGTTTTTACCTTTCAGTAAAGAATTGGCCGTTTACCTACTGTGAAAGAATCATCTAGATACAGTTGTCATCATTGAGTTGAATTAAGGTTATATGACCTTTTCAACTAGTTTTTTAAACTAATGCATCTTTTCTAAGAACTGTTGGGAAGGCTTCTTGTTCTGTTTCTTATTTTAGGCTGCCTTTAGTTTGACATGAGGTCTTTCATCCTTTCACTTTATTTACCTTAACTTTAGAAGTTGGTATTTATGTTAAAACTTGATTACTGGTTATTTGTATTATAAGACTTCAATTTTTTGACATTTATCTAAGATTAATATTGATTACTTTCTATTTCGTAGAATGTAATTATATCTAGTGCTGCTGAAAGGGTAAGTCTGGCATTAAGTACTTTATTTTTTCCCTTTTCAAGTTAAATTAGTCATGTAATAAAGGTTTATTGCATGTTTTCGTTTTTAATTGCATTTGCTCATTGTAATTGGTGAAGAGTAAAATTTATCTCCATTCCTTTGGGGCTTCAAATTTTGTTTATATAAATAGTTTTTCCTTTAAATGGTTGCAAAATGCTTTTCAGGGATCTTTTATATTTTCAAAAATGTAAGTAACCCGTCAAAATTATAAGGACTTAAATTTATGCAGTTGACTTCCTTGTTTTTAGATACTTAAGCATCCTACTGCAGATGAAGTCACTGAAATGTTACGAATAACTTCTTTCATATCTATTTTTTGTTCATTTTATTTTAGCCTTTAGAAATAAGAGGCCCATACGATGTGGCAAACTTGTATCCTTTTCTGAATAAGAAGTCATTGAAATTTTCTTTTAGGAAATTTGGAATTTGGTATGTTATACTTTAACAAGATTTTTTAACCTTTTACTATAAACTTATCAATTAATAGCTTCAAAACCAAATTACATCAGGTTGTGAAAACTTCATCCTTTTGTTTTCTGGATTAAGGGTGAAATAGAAAAAGGGGGAAAGAAGGACTCTATAAAAGCTTAGAGTTAAATGAGTCTTTTCTCAAATGCCTGTTCCATTTGGAGTAAGAACTGTAGATTTAAAGTGTCTCTCTCAGTGCCTCTCTGGTGAACTGGCATTGTCAGTTATGTTTCTGTTAGTCTCCTGTCCTCAGCTGACGCTGGGTTGAAATCTTTAATGACCCCCCAGAGGGTTGCTGTTTGGGCTGTCGGAAAGTGACGCCAAGGCCGCAGTGTCCACCAACTGCCGAGCGGTGCTTCTGCACGGAGGTGAGCAAGTCCTTCCAAGAAAAACACCGAGTGGTCATGTTAAGAGCCAGTCATTTCTGTGAAACAGTTGAGCCATATCTACTTTCATTATCCTGCCCCTCGGAGTTCCATTAGGATCATCTTTTCTGAACCTGTTTAGCCATACCCATCAGTGCTTTCTCGCCCTTTACTTCAGGCTTTATTTTCAGTAGTTTGTGGAATGAATATAGTTTGCCTTCCAGAAATGAGTATTGAATGCGTTCTTTCCAGTTCTGCACGTGTGTCCCCACCTGCATTTTGATAGGCTTCTCATCTCCCTTTTTCCTCCATAGGGACATGCTTTCCCTGCTGAAAATCACTGTTTTAGAGAACTGAACGGTGAAAAATATATGTTAAGCCAGTTATGAGGAACACAAAAGCACCAAATACATTTTTAAAAATCCTGCTAACAAACTCAAATCATAACTTTTCACATTTATTACAACTTGTGATTATTTTCTCATATTTGGTTTACCTGTTCAATTATGCAAGACTACACATTTTTTACTCACATTTCATTTATATATATCTTCCTCCTCACCTTAATTTCACTACTTGAATGCACTGGATTTCTTACTCATCAGATGATAAAAATTGAACTAGAAGTGTTTGATATGCTACGACTTTGGAGAATAAAAATGGGGCTTTTTAAAAGAAAAAAGTTTACACTTTTCATCTGCTGTTTTATCTTCATTCTCTTCGTAATTTTTAGCACTGGTGGTAGTGGTCAAGAAGCAGTTGACTTGATATCACCCAGATGAATGTTAAACTTCAGAATTGGTTGCTACATATAAACTGGGTGATTTAGCATATGAATAGTTAGGTTATTGAGAGCTTGTGTATTACGTCTGGATTTTAGTGATCTGATTTCCACTTCGTAGAACTGGTTACTGTATTACCGTGAATTAGATGATTTTGCTTTTGTTTTCAACATTTTTAGTTTGAGATTGTTGTATTACATAGCCTAGACCCATCACATAAGCTCTGGGAATGACCAAATTAATTAAAACTTTATCAGGATTTTCTTGAAATTAGGGAACAGTTGATTCACACTGGTAGTTCTGCCATTATTTTTGTCTATTTTAAATGAACATAAGGAATCGTCAAGGTTTTGGATAACAATTAGTGGTTTAAAACAGACTGAGACAAGGAAGGGAAGTTAATTTTTAAAAGTTAGTAGGGAAAAATATGAAGATCTGTGCTTCAGAAAACTCAGCTATTCAAAATAAGTTATATATAAAGCTAGGCTTTTACAGAAGCTAAACTAAAAGAAGCCTTGTGGACTTTAGCATTCCCATTCATTCTAGTTGTGCCCAGGACAGTCCTAGTGTATGCCTGCTGTCCCTGCAGAATTAACAGCACATCTACAGGATGTTATAATTACCCTGACTTTAGTTGACATTGGGATCAATTTGAGACAGCAGTTTCAAAATTCAGTCTACTAGGATTGCAAATTCAGCCTAAGGTTACATTAGAAGAAATACAAGATTCTGAGGCAGGAAGATTCAAAGTGTCATCATTATCCTCTGCACTGGTAAGTCCTGGCTGGCATCTCTATCACCCTGAGTGCCACATTTAAGAAGGACAGCACTGCACTGAAGCACTACCAGAAGATGGTTAATTCTTGGAGGGTGTGAAAACCTTATCATGAGAGCAATTGTTGAAGGCAGTGCAGGAATGGATACCTGGAAAACAGAAGACTTGGGACATGCAGTAGCTGGGCTTCTACATTGGAAGGCTTGCTACAAGGCATCACAGTTAGATGGGTCCTGTGGGATTCTAGAAACCAATGAATAGCAATTCTAAGGAGGTTGTGGGGAGGGGACAGAGGAAAGAGGTTCAAGATCTAAGAGTTACTTTATCTGATAATTATAAAAGTCTTGTTTTTCAACGGTTTATAATCCGTTGTCTTAGATTAAGAAGTAAATGTTCATGTGATGTAAAAAAAAATATTTCTGAGATGGAACTAATACAATTTTGAAACTAATGCATTTAGTTTTGTTACAAAGTATTGATTTTCACAATTTAATTTTTATATTTTTTATTCATTCTACTGATTTTTAGACGTTTACTCATAATCATAGTGATAAACATCTCTAAATGTAACATTTTTTGGAAATCACGGGCAATTTCTGTTTATTTTGAGATTCTCTGATTATGTTGGTATTTAATGACCTTGAGAGCAGTTTTGTCCCTTTTATAAATTAAAATGCTTTTAAATAACTGGCAAAGATTTAGTAGACTTGGTAAATTAATCCTGATAAATGAGAAGGTAATATTTAACTTTTAGAATTGACTTTTGTACATGAAATAAGAAATAATTCTTAACTAAATTTATGTTTATCAAATCCTTTTGATTTTTATCTCCTTTGTATCCAAGGGGTCTCTCTTTCTCTCCTCCCCAGTCCTTCTCTGTTTCCTAAGGACTCAGTTTAAATCTCTTTTCACAGCACTGTGGCCCTTCACAAGTACCAGCCTCGTTTCCCCCTAATTTTTTCATGCTCCTCCTTTACACCGGCCATATCGTCCCCTAAGTATATTAGATTCTTCTTACCTCTCTCCCTATGCCTTTGCAAAGGAACACTTTCCTCTCCTTTCCTTTTCCTTCTTCCCTATTCTTAGCATCACTTCTTTCATGATACCTTCCTGATTCATCCAGGCAGAGTTACTTCTTGTGGTGCCTCCATTCCTATTATATTTGCCCCTGATGTGCTATCTCAGTGTGTGGTAGGAAGAAGTACTGTGTTAGGCATCCTAAGATCCTCTGTAGATGACACAGAGCCTGGCCCCTTAGTACATTTTTAGCAGAAGTTAGCTACATTTAAGTTGAACTCTACTAGCAACCTGACCTAAACTTTTAGTAATTCCCATTCTTCTTTGTTCATTGTCACCAATATATAAGAGATCAATAACCATGTGCGTTATTCCTCGTTCACTCAACAAGTATTTCTTAAACACCTGTTAAATAACCAGGCATTGTTGGATGTTCGCCATACGATTGATTCTTCAGAGGTATAATCATGATCTAGTGGGGGACACAGATAATGAATGGTCTGTGCTATAAAATGAAGTGAGCACACACACAACCAGGGAAGCAGACTGTTGTAGTTGCCATCTTGATTCATTTGTGTTTCTACCACACTTTAAGCATGTGCTGCACCAAGCTCTGAAACTTGGGTTCTGGCTACCTAAGATGCCTCGGACAGACCATTAGCGATAACCTGCCCTATGTAGTTTTACCCTTGGGGTAGTCCCTTTGGAATGAACTAGATGTTAAAAATATACAGATATTTGTAGAAGCTGGTGGTGGGGAAAGGTGAGAACTGTAAATGGCATCAACACTCATAGCAGTTTATTATGGTTTCATCATTTACTCATGCTGTAAGTCACAGTAACATGGGGATGCTTGTTAAAACCACCTCTTTTGAAATCATGGCTTAACTTCAGGCACTTTGGTTTCCCTGTTTATCTTATAGAAACTAGAAAAACTGCTTTTGGAATTATTTCCACGGTGAAGAAACCTCGGACATCAGAAGTAGATGATGATTCTCTTCCAGCCTGCAAGAAAGCCAAGTGTGAGAGCTGAAATGAGTCCCCGTCTCTGTCAGCACTCCCTTCTGCCTTTTGAGAATCCATCAGCCGCAACAGAAACAGAACCTCGTATGATTCACTATTTTCACTTGGAGCTAGATACCGGTAGTCTATAAAAGCAGTCTTATATTTAAGCCATTAAAATAGCAAAACCTAGTAAAGCATTTAAAAAAAAAAAAAAAAGGCTGTCCCCGTAAAGAATTTAGATATTTTAAGAGAAAAGCAAAGACTAGTTCATTTATCCTTTCCGTTAAGTGATAAATGGAAGGTATAATTGAATACGATGTTTCAATATTCAAGAGACTCTTTAAAAATGTTTCTTGCTCATTTAAAAGTTCATGCTTTTCAGCTTTACTTGATATACATGGCTTATTTAAATTTTACTACTCAAAAAGTGGTTATTTTGAGGACTCTTAAAACTTATGTTAAGGGGTTGGCTTTTAGTTGATCTACTCTTGCTTTAAGCCTCTCTTTCATTATAATCATCAAGTCCAAGTCCTTTCTAAAAGGAATTGCTATAAAATTTGCGGAAGGAAAGGAAAAGTGCATGTAAAATCACACCTGGCCTCTTCGTTTGCTGGTTCTTACCTCCGTGATATCCTTGAAATAGGATTCCTTTGAGTTGGAAGCCCCTGAAAACCTAATATTGATTTTTCTAATTGCTATAGTAAAAATCTCAAAGCACTGGACTCAATCAACTTTGGAAATGATTTTTTTAATAGCAGGATCATTGTATTAAGTAGAAGTAGCCTTTTTTGTAAATATCTGCATTTATGCTATATTGATGTTAAGAAAATCATTTAAATGAAGATATGAACACTGTTCTGAGAGTCAGAGAATAGATAATTTTAAAAAGAAAGCTTTACACCAAACTCACTTACGAATTTAGATCCTTAAATTAGATATTGGTAAAACAGAGTATACCATAACCAGGTGAGATTTATTCTAGAAATGTAAGGATTTTTCAGTTCTTTTCAATGTACTACGCTTTATCATATTACTAGGTCAAATGAGAAAAATCAGAATCATCTTAATAGATGCCTGTAAGACATTTGATAAAATTTAAAGTCCACTCCTGATTTTTGAAAAATAAACAAGAATAAAAACCCTTGACAAAATACAAATAGAAGAATATTTCACACATATGTGTATATGTTCATTTCTCTTTATATATTGTATATGTATTAAGCATCATGGTTCTAAAAATAAAGCATTTTTTACTTCTTCTTAAGCAACATGATGGATTAGCCTACTACACTCCCTCCATAAAACTCATGGCCACTGCTGCTGAGCCCTCACACCCAGAGTCTGCCACTTCCTTGAGTGCCAGCTTGCTTCTGCCTTCACCCCACTTGGATTCACCAAAAGTTAGGTGTGTGTTTATTCACAAGTCTGTTTATGCCACTGTATTTAGCATTGTAAAATTAATATAAGTTAATTTAAAATTATAAAAACTGATGAACCAGGAGGGGAAAAAAAGGAATTCCCTGGAAAATTAATGCTTTTGAAAAGTTTGAAAAAGATGAGTCATTAAAAAGAACTGTCAAATTAGTTGTGAGCAAGACAACTAGATTTAGAGGAGATCCAGTGGAAATTCTGCACTTGGATTGCTTTACCAGAGTCTTTATAAGTTCTCTTTTTTCTTCTTTTTTTTTAAATTGAGGTAACATTGTTTATAACATTGTTTTATGTGTATACATTATAATTCAACTCATGTGTACATTACAGCTTGCCAGCAAAAGTTTCCATCCATCACCATACAGTTGACTCCTTACCCGATTTGCTTTCCCCCCCATCCCTCCTTCCCCTCTGGTAACAACTACTCTGTTCTCTTTATCTGTGTGTTTGTTTTTGTTTCATTTAGTTTGTTCTTTTTCTTTTTTTTTCCCCACATAAGAGTGAAATCATATAGTATTTGTCTCTCTCTATCTGACTTATCTCATTTAGCATAATACCCTCAAGGTCCATCAGTGGTGTCACAAATGGCAAGATTTCCTCTAACTTTATGGCTGAGTAGTATTCCATTTTATATATGTGTGTGTGTGTATACACACACACACACACACACACCCCACATCTTTATGCATTCATTTGTTGATGGACATTTAGGTTTTTTCCATATCTTGGCTATATAAATAATGCTGTAGTGAACATAGGAGTATGTATATATTTACGAATTTGTGCTTTCATATTCTTTGGATAAATTCCCAGAAGAGGAATAGCTGGATCATATGGTAGTTCTATTCTTAATTTTTTGAAGAATCTCCATAGTGTTTTCCTTAGTGACTGGACCAATTTACATTCCTACCAATAGTGCATGAGGGTTCCCTTTTCTCGACATCCTCTCTATAACATTTCTTATTTCTTGCCTTTTTGATAATAGCCATTCTAACAGGCTATCGGGCGTGACATAGGTATTAGCATTATCTTTCCACATATATCTCCTCAGGCAAGGGAAACAAATGCAAAACTAAAAAGCTTCATAGCAAAAGAAACTATCAACAAAATGAACAGACAACCAATAAGGACCTACTGTATAGCACAGGGAACTATAATCAGTATTTTGTAATAACCTATAAAGGAAAAGAATCTGGAAATATACATATATATGTGTGTGTGTGTGAGTATGTAAAAGTTTTTGTCAGGTTAAAAAAAAAAAACTACCTACTAAATGGGAAGCTATTTTAAAATCATATATCTGATGAGGGGTTAATAGCCAAAATATATAAAAAACTCATACAACTCAACAACAAATACCAAACAACCCAATTTAAAAATGGGCAGAGGGGGCTTCCCTGGTGGCACAGTGGTTAAGAATCCACCTGCCAATGCAGGGGACATGGGTTCGAGCCGTGGTCCGGGAAGATGCCACATGCTGCAGAGCGACTAAGCCCATGTGCCACAACTACTGAGCCTGTGAGCCACAACTACGGAACCCATGTGCCACAACTACTGAAGCTCACGTGCCTAGAGTCCATGCTCCACAGCAAGAGAAGCCACCACAATGATAAGCCCACACACTGCAACCAAGAGTAGACCCCGCTTGCCACAACTAGAGAAACCCCACGTGCAGCAACGAAGACCCAACGCAGCCAAAAATAAATAAGTGAATAAATAAAAATGGGCAGAAGATCTGAAAAATATCCAATATGTCTTTGGAAGATGTACCGATAGCCAATAGGCACATGAAAAGATGCTCAACATTACTAATTATGCAAATCAAACCTAATGAAATATCACTTTTCTTTCTTCTTTAAAGAGACTGGAACTCAAGAACAAACTGTAGATCTCCCATCAGTGGAGCCATACTTCCAAGAATAGGCTTTGACCTTTCTTTAAAAGATTGGCACGTGAGTGTACATTTATATATTTTAAACTTAAAATGTTTAAGAGGATGTATGTTCAACTTTTTTTTGATGCCCCACAATGATCTACTTTTTCAACCAACTGACTATATTTTAGCCCCAACTGTACCAGGTATAATATTGAGGTCTTTCATGTTATATTAGAAAGGAGGAAAAGTTAATGGCACAATGTGAGCCTTGAAAAACTCAAGAAAAGCAACTGGGTAAAGGATAGAAATACAGGTGCTTTTTAGCACCTGTATTTCAAATACATTTGTTATGTATTTGCAGTTGGGCTTGCTTTCTGTTTATGGGCAGGTGCTTATCCTGTTATTCAAAATAGGAGGGCATGATGGCTGGTCACCAGTGAAGAACAGCAAGTGGGCTTCTTTAAAGTTTGCTTTTGTTAGAACATGAACTGGTTTAGTTGCAACAAGGTGACATTACCTTCAGTAAAAGTTCAGCAAAGTGGTCAATTATAAAATAAATACAAAAGCCAGTAGTTTTCATTAACAATAACGTTATAAAATACCATTTTAAAAGATGCCCCTGAGGGAGGAGCTTCAAGATGGCAGCAGAATAAGACATGGCGATCACTTTCCTCCCCACAAATACATCAGAAATACATCTACATGTGGAACAATTCCTACAGAACACCTACTGAATGCAGGCAGAAGACCTCAGACCTCCCAAAAGGCCAGAAACTCCCCACGTACCTGGGTAGTGCAAAAGAAAAAAGGAAAAACAGACAAAAGGTTGGGGCCAGGACCTACACCATTGGGAGGGAGCTGTGAAAGAGGAAAGGTTTCCACACACTAGGAAGACCCTTCATGGGTGGAGATTGCGGGTGACGGTGGGGGGAAGCTTCGGAGCCACGGAGGAGAGCGCAGCAACGGGTGCGGAGGTCAAAGCAGAGAAATTCCCGCACAGAGGATCAGTGCTGACCAGCACTCACCAGCCCAAGAGGCCTGTCTGCTCACCTGCCGGGACGGGCAGGGGCTGGGAGCTGAGGCTCGGGCTTTCGAGGTCAGATCCCAGGGAAAGGACTGGGGTTGGCTGCGTGAACACAGCCTGAAGGGGGCTAGTGTGCCACAGCTAGCTGGGAGGTAGTCTGGGAAAAAGTCTGGAGCTGCCAGAGAGGCAAGAGACCATCGTTTCGGGGTGCGTGAAGAGAGGGGATTAAGAGCACAGCTTAAAGGAGCTCCAAAGACAGGCGCGAGCCGTGGCTATCAGTGTGGACTCCAGAGACGGGCATGATACGCTAAGGCTGCTACTGTAGCCACCAAGAAGCCTGTGTGCAAGCACAGGTCACTATCCACACCTCCCCTCATGGGAGCCTGTGCAGCCCACCACTGCCAGTGTCCCGTGATCCAGGGACAACTTCCCCAGGAGAAAACATGGCGCGCGTCAGGCTGGTGTGTCATGCTGGCCTCTGCCACCACAGGTTCACCCCCACATTCCGTACCCCTTCCTCCCCCCGTCCTGAGTGAGCCAGAGCCCCCAAAGCAGCTGCTTCTTTAACCCTGTCCTGTCTGGGCAGGAACAGACACCCTCAGGCGACCTACACGCAGAGGCGGGTCCAAATCCAACGCTGAACCCTGGGAGCTCTGCAAACAAAGAAGAGAAAGGGAAATTTCTCCCAACATCCTCAGGAGCAGCGGATTAAATCTGCACAATCAACTTTATGTACCTGCATCTGTGGAATACCTGAATAAACAATGAATCATCCCAAATTGAGGAGGTGGACTTTGTGAGCAACGATATATTTTTTTTCCCCTTTTTCTCTTTTTGTGAGTGTGTATGTTTCTATGTGTGATTTTGTTTGTATACCTTTGGTTTTACCATTTGTCCTAGGGTTCTGTCTGTCCTTTGTTGTTTGTTTTCAATATAGGTTTTAGTGCTTGTTATCATTGGTGGATTTTTTTGATTTGCTTGCTCTCTTCTTTCTTTTTATTTAAAAAAATTTTTTTAATAATTATTTTTTATTTTAATAACTTTATTTTATCTTCTTTCTTTCTTTCTTTCTTTCTTTTCCTCCCTTTTATTCTGAGCCGTGTGGATGACAGGCGCTTGGTTCTCCAGCCAGGCGTCAGGCCTGTGCCTCTGAGGTGGGAGAGCCAAGTTCAGGACACTGTTCCACCAGAGACCTCCCATCTCCACGTAATATCAAATGGCGAAAATCTCCCAGAGATCTCCATCTCAACGCCAAGACCCAGCTCCACTCAATGACCAGCAAGCTACAGTGCTGGACACCCTACGCCAAATAACTAGCAAGACAGGAACACAACCCCACCCATTAGCAGGCTGCCTAAAATCATAATAAGGCCACAAACACCCCAAAACACACCACCAGACGTGGACCTGCCCACCAGAAAGACAAGATCCAGCCTCATCCACCAGAACACTGGCACCAGTCCCCTCCACCAGGAACCCTACACAACCCACCGAACCAACCTTAGCCACTGGGGACAGACAACAAAAAGAACTACGAACCTGCAGCCTGTGAAAAGGAGACCCCAAACACAGTAAGTTAAGCAAAATAAGACAGAAAAACACGCAGCAGATGAAGGAGCAAGGTAAAAACCCACCAGACCTAACAAATGAAGAGGAAATAGGCAGTCTACCTGAAAAAGAATTCGGAAAGAGAATGGAAAAAATACAAGAAACGTTTGACAAGGACCTAGAAGAACTAAAGAGCAAACAGTGATGAACAACACAATAAATGAAATTAAAAATTCTTTAGAAGGGATCAGTAGCAGAAT